GACTAAATCGCTGTTGTTGTTGTTTTTAAGGTCATGTGACATCAGCTCTACTTCCTCTGTGACAGTACGCATGTGATTTGCAGGTTGAGCTTTAAAGCTTCAGAAACACCAAACAGCTGCAGTCTGTCTTACATGAGAAAGGCCACGGTAGCGATGACTCCACAGGTGTGATATGCATGATGAAATTCATCCTGTGCCGGGTATTTCACTGCAGCATCAATGATGATCCACCAGCCGGTGAAAAACTGCAAAAACAACATCCCCGGTTATGTAAATATGTAAAATCTTCTATACAGATTTATATATATATATATCTTTATTGTCTTGAAGAAATCAGTGGAAATACCAGGACTCCAGCAGCTATAGAGGCAATTGTGTTTCTTCGCTCTCCCCAGTCCACATTACACTCACATTCTCCGCACCGGATCCCATCCAGAAATCCCGACATGACTCTGGAAAAAAGTAAATGTAGATGTAAGTCAGGATTTGAATTAAGAGAAAGGCAGCTCAGTTTAAACAGTCTGAAAAAAAACAAATAACATATTTTAATTAATGTAAAATGTAAAATATAAATATTACACATAAAAATCTGTTAAAATCAAATCAAGTCAAACCTTAAAAAGCTGAATATAATACAATGAGGTGAATAAGAAAAAATTGAAATAAAATAATTCAATTTAATCATAAATACATATTTTCATAGAATATATACACTGACTATAAAAAATTTAAAAAGTTCAGAAAATAAAAACTAAAACACAACAGGCTAAAACTGGTTGTTAAATATCAAATAAATGTATTAAATTAAGGAGGTCAAGAGGGGAAAAGGGGGGAAAAACAGTAATATATTTTTTTTAATGTTCAGTCTAATAAAATAAAATACAAATAGAAAAATAATGAAATTGGTAAAAATACAATACAACTGAAAATAATACACAAATAACACCGGACAGAACAGTAGCTTGTCCAGGAGTAGATTTCAGCTCCCATTGACTTTTGATGGAGGTGTGGAGGACACACTTACTCTGGATTTGTCCTGAACCTCAGGACTCGTGGAAACCCACCTACTCAAATAATGATGCTAAGCCGTCTACTTTAGGTTCAATAACTGAACATCAACGCTCTGGCTATTGCCACAGCTACTAGATTATTACAGCGTCCCTGGAGGCCACCGTCTGGAGAATGCATAACAACAATGACACAGCTGATTCGTTATGTGACTCTTAAAACAGCAAAAATGGATCACTGAATGTAGTAAGGAAAAGTGTCTCAGCAAAATTTCCACCCCATTGTGTACAGGAGGAACAGCTGATTTATTAAAGTTTAAATAAATGATGACATCACACTTTCCACAGCCAGCCAGGTGTATTCCTGACTCCACTAATGTAAGTGCAGGCAACATGAAAAACAGCTGTTCATTATGCTTATTTCCAATAATCAATAAGCGAAGTCAGAAAAGTGGACTGAAATCTGACACAAAAATCCATCAGTGCGCAGGCGCCGTACAGTAGGCTCATACTCGCGCACAAACACCAACAATACTGTAACTCCACATTTATCCCGTTTAATCGCCACCTGCAATATCCACTAAGCCCCTAAGGGGATGATAATAGCAGGTATAAGTTTTAGAAAATCAAACAATGCTCGTGTGTTTGATTAAAACCCTGCGCTGTCGCTTTCTTTTGTTCATCGCTTTGGTACTAGCAAACATTTCCTTGAAGGTTTCTTCCCGCTACGAAGTTGCTGAAAAAATACCACGAGCCAAACGACAGCGGCGGAAACGGATAGAAACACACATCCCGACACTGTTACCCGTTCCTCGTGCCATTTTCAAAGGAATTCCTACCTTTTATTATCGTTTTTTGATGTGTAAAACCTTTGGACAAACCCGACTTTGCTTCCGACAGAGGTTCGTCATGCACATGCGCAGTTAACCCACACCCTTTTCGATCAAAGACGCTGTTGATGTTGTTGCCTTCAGGAGCAACGGATAAAGTGTGAATTTGTAAACATCTCTCCTTTCTAATTCCAGTTACTCCTGACCAGTAAAATAATTGCACAGTAGCTTTCTAAATAAGTGCAATTAATATAAAAGGGTTCACAGTTTCCCATTTAATGACTCATTAATGTCACTAGTGTTTCTGAAATAAGGCTGGCATCACATCTCTACAGTACCTGCGCATTTTAACACTGTTCATCACTCTTTGCACAGCTATTAAGCGGGCTGAACAGGATCCTCTGGAGGACCAGTTACGGTTACTGGGCCGCACATTTGGCACACTTATATGCTATTTATAATATAAGGGAATGATATGATAATAATCAATATATATATGCGACATATAAGTAGAATTGTGGCACTTTATTCTAATATAATAAAATACTTTACATTTCTGTCCACATTTCTTTATATGATTTAAACAATTAATTGCAAAAGAATTCAGATTCAGAGTTCATACAAAACAAAGAAAGAAAACAATATCCCGTTAGGCTTATTTTACCGGATTCCAATAAAACAGTTAATCCTACTTTTTTCCTTGTGTCACACAGATCTCCCACTCTTTATTCCTCTGACTATCCTTTTTAAAATCACAGCGATGCTATATATGATTCCAATAAAACATTGGAATCATATATAGATGTAGTTTATTTATTATTGGAATAAAGTACATCTTATTCATATAAACCATTGGAATCATATATAGCATGACCTTATATATTTTACTCATTAATCTCCTTGTTGTATGATATTTTGATTTGGGTTTATTGAACTCTTCACTTCTCCATCCATCCATCCATTCATCTTCATCCGCTTTATCCGGGGCCGGGTCGCGGGGGCAGCAGCCTAAGCA